TGGCACATTTTACACTGTAACCTAGGAGAGTACCTCTCTTGGCACTGATAGATCTTGTTTTTCATGTGTGTGCAGTGCTTTGGATATTGTTGGGCATTTATCTTTTTACTTTTCATGTATTCAGAAGCTGGAGATCTGAATATATTACCTGCTTTATCACAATTCTGTGGAGTATAAAACGTATTGCCATTGCCATTCTTTGGTCCAACAAGGATATGGGGAGCTGTTTGACTAATGTCTGTGCATCCATGCATGTAAGCATTACACCGTTGCTTTGTCATTGCATGAGTAGCAGTTTAAAATTAATAACACTGAGCTTTATTTTCTTCACTGAAGTTCTTGATGGAGGATTTCCGTTTTGTTAGAGCAAAGTAGATTCCTGCTCCTGGACCTTCCTAGCTTTTAAACTTGAAAAAAAATTCCAAAGTCTTTGAATAAGGTTCTGTTAATCAAAATCAGAATTTTCTGTAAGGTTTTGGTAAATGTGTATATAAACTTTTTTGGTTTTGGTTTGTTTGTTTAGATGTGATGGGTAGCAAAGTTCTTAAAAAAAAATTTAGTCTTGCAGGTGGTGGATAAATGTTTGATTGTGTAACTTCAAAAACCAGATTGCTTTGGAGAAGACTTGAATATTTGCTATCTTCAGTTAATAGCTATGTGGAAGCTCTTCCACTTGTTAAAATTGAGGTAGTTTACTCCTCCATGGAAGCTGCCTTAGTCCTGAATTTCTCACACCAGATATAAAGCAAGAAGCATACATTTGGGCACTTAAAGTTGAAAGTTGTATTGCATCTTTATGTTCTGCCTTGTAGTTTGGTACTTTTTTGCACGTCTGTGTCATAGGCTACTTTTGTATGTGTTTTTCCCTACCTAGAGCAAAATGAGGTAGTTGCTATGGTAAGCTGTTCATATGGCAGGTGGTCCAGTGTTGAAATAAGCTTTCCATCCTGGAGAAGTATTTGTTTATGAACCCAATATAAATGCTGTCTCTTCTTTTTCCTTTCCCCATTTGATAGTGGATACCCTGTTTTCAAGAAAACTAAATGGAAAATACAGACTTGAACGCCTTGTTCCAACTGCAGTCTACCAACATATGAAGATGCACAAACGAATTTTAGGACACTTATCTTCTGTATACTGTGTAACTTTTGACCGGACTGGCAGGCGAATATTTACTGTAAGTACAAAATCTTTATTTTTGTAGATTTTGTAGGTACAGGTAGCATGTCACCTAATTATTTCCAAAAACTAAATGTCTGATGTTGTGTGTCAAGAGCAGATAAATGCTTTATTACTGTTGCTCTCATATATGCTTTTTAATAACCATGCTGGTTTGCATGTTAAAATAGTTTTGTCATTCCTGTCTTAGGGCTAGATGTGATGGTGATTGCTGATCTGTTTAGTGCAGTCAGAAAACTCAGGTTATTTTCAGTGGAAAGGAATCACCCTATGTAGATGCTTTCCTCTGGACTTGTTTTCTCTAGCAAAAACATCAGCAAAAGAATGGACCACCACCATAGAATTTGATGAGGAAGTCAGAGAGGACAATCTATATGTAATTAAAGATTATTTTAACTCTTTTTCTTAAATTTAACACATGACCATTAAGTTTAACAGTCTGGTGATACACTTAGATTTGGTACAGCATGTTGAAGGAAACTAGAAAGCTGAAAATTCACATGGTGTGTTGTAACGGGTGTTGGTTCACAAAGAATTGTCTTTATTAGATCCCAGGAACTCTTTTTTTTTTTGTTTTGTTTTTTTTTTTTGTACCAGTGTTCTTAGTATTTTTAACTATTAGCTTCTTTTGTTGTTAATGTTACAAAAAAGAAAATACTCTGCAGATGTCTGAAATCAGTACTGAAATTGCAAGTTTCCTGAGGAATGGAAGTTATAAAACCAGATAGGTGCCAGTGTAATTTTGATTTCTTGGTAAGTAGTCAATTTTAGTAGAGCCAGGCATCTCATAAATACACACCTTGTGCTAGTCTGGGACACTTTGGTTGCATTTATTACCTTCCCACAAATGCTACATGTAATTGATACCTTTGTGGATCCAGGAACTTGTGTCCTTTCTAACCTCATGGCAGATAACCTGAACAATGCAGGTGCAAGGTACAGTTTAGTTCTCCTTTATCTGTTGCAGTTCTAACTTCTAAAATTCCTTCAAGGCAGTTGTAAATGTAATTTGCCCTTTTGCCCACATCCATTTTGCTTTGTTGCTGGAGGGATGTGTGGTTGCAGGGATGGGACACTCCCAGTGTCTGAGCAGACCTGTTCATTTGTTCACTTGTTGCTTCAGGCATAGCAGAGACTTTTTAAATATTTCTTCCGCTTTCATTGGCAAGCTAAGTCCCTCAACAGTCGTAAGCATTAAGTTCTTATGTCCTGTAGTTTATGCATGGTTAACCTCTCAGGAAAAGGTCACTCTGCTGTGGGTTTATTTTATAGGTGACATGGCAGAATGGATTAGAGATTTTATGTGTACCAAGTATAAAAATCACCTATACTCTCCCTGTTCACCTCTACATAAAAACTTTGTTTGGGCTTACTAAGTGAAGTGCATAAAACCCCCTGTTAAGGTCTTAGGATTCTTCATTTTCCTAAAACTTTCCCAAGTTCCTAGTATCTTTCCTCTTCAGAGGTAAGTAAACTTCCTCTTGGATGCATCTGCAGTGATCATTCCTCGTTGCACATTCCCTTGCTTTTTGCAGTCTGATTTAAAAGTGGTTAAAGAGGGAGAATTCTCTTGACTGCAACAGCAATTTGTTTCCAAAAGAAAGTAGAAGAACCTGAAATAAAATGGGGGGAGCAATATTGCTTCTGCAACCCCAGAGCTTTGCTGTCAGTCCTTTGCTGACAGATACACTGGTGTCCCGGTATAATTGCTTGAAAAAGTCCCAGTTTAGATCATGATTACTTCAATCTAGTGTTAAATAAAGCATCCATAGAAATTAATTGTGGCTGGTGAATTTTCATTTTGGAGGATCTGGGACAGAACTTCTTAACCTCTGCGTTCTCAAGTAAATCCAGGTTATTTTGTGTAGACATTTAAGTGTTTTTTGGCAAATGGAAAACCAATGGGTTGTATTCCACATTCCAGTAAAATCCAAGTTGCTGTAGCTGGTGTGATGTAGTCAGCGCATAAACAGTCATGAACTGTCCTGTTGTAATTGTGTCTGTATAATGAAATGGTGCCAATTCTTTTCAATCTAGACCACTACAATTTCTGAAGTCTCTAGTGTAGTAAGTAGAAATAGGAATTTATAATAAGTAAGCCAGACTTCATTCCAGACACATCTGTTGGCAGCACTTAAATTTCCTTGCATCAGTAGGGAATCGTTCTTTCCCGACGTTTTTACTTTACAACCTCCAGCATTCAGTGTGACAGTAGCTAGATAAGAGGCTGTTTTCAGTTTATAATTAGTTCTAGAAGATGCATCATAACTGTTTCACAGAATCATAGAACGGTTTCTGTTGGAAGAGACCTTCAAGGTCATCGAGTCCAACCTCTGTTCTAACTCGACCAACACCACTAAACCATGTCCCCAAGTACAACATCTACCTGTCTCTTAAACACCTCCAGGGATGGTGACTCCACCACCTCCCTGGGCAGCCTGTTCCAATGCCTGACAACACTTTCAGTAAAGAAATTCTTCCTAATATCCAGCCTGAATCTCCCCTGGTGCAGCTTAAGGCCATTTTCTCTTGTTCTATCGCTTGTTACTATGGAGAACAGACCGACCCTCGCAAAACTTTTTTGATTTAAATACAAAAGCTCGTGTCGAGGGCTGATTCTCAATAGATTGCAGTGAGGGAACTGCTCTGTTAGGTACGAAACCCTGACCCAGAATCAGGTCATCTACGAATGATTTCCACCGAGGCCTTGCCGCAGGCCACCCCTCAGAGCGTGGCTTTTTTTTTTTTTTTTTTTTTAAATACTGCCAGGCAGCCTTTCTGAGGATCTTTTAATAACACACCATATACTTTCTCTTGGTGAGGGAGGAAATCATGCCTGTAGGAAAATTTTGGTGCATCAGGTAACAGCAGGAGGTCGGTACGAAGGGGAAAATGAGGCGTTGTTTAAATATTTCAGGATCAAAATACTTTCAAATTGTTATTGAAGGAATTAGAATAAATTCAATGAAAAAAAAAAATCAGCCAGCCCCCATTAGCATCCTTCATGCAGGCTGTTTACTTCATGAGAAGCTCTATCCATTGTAAAGGAATATTAAATCAGTGCTCCACTGTTTAACAGAGGGAAACATGCTATTGGATTTGCTTTTTTTTTTTTTTTCAAATCAACAATAAAATTGCTATTTAAATATGCTAAAAAAGAATTAGAATCATAAAACAGTTTTGGTTGGAAGAGATCTTCAAGATCATCAAGTCCAACCTTCAAGGTTGGAAAAGGTTTCCTTTTCCTCCTGACCTCTGAAGCATTGAAAGCCTCTAAATTCAAGTTCTGTTTATGTTCTGTTTCAAATTAACAGGAAAAGAAAGTGATCTCAGCACATTTTTGAGTCATACTCTTCTGGGAGATGCTATCTTTGCTAGGAAGAAGATGCTCTTAGTTTGCCTAAAGGGAGTGAAAAGGGGACATTATGCAGTTTTCCTACTAGCTAGTAGGTCTGTATTGGGTTTGCATGGAAAGGTTTTGGTAGTGGCGGGGCTACAGGGGTGGTTTCTGTGAGACCCTGCTAGAAGTTTCCCTTATGTCCAATTAAGCCAATACCAGCCGGCTCCAAGACAGACCCACCACTGACCATAGGTGACAGTGGTAGCACCTCCGGGATAACGTGTTTAAGAAGTGAGGAAGAAAAAACCTGGGCAATTGCAGTCCAAGAGAGGAGTGAGAATGTGTGAGAGAAACAGCTCTGCAGACACCCAAGTCAGTGAAGAAGGAGGAGGTCCAGGCACTGGAGCAGGCATTCCCCTGCAGCCTGTGGTGAAGACCATGGTGAGGCAGGCTGTCCCCCTGCAGCCGGTGGAGGTTAACGGTGGAGCAGATATCCACTGCAGCCATGGAGGACCCCATGCTGAAGCAGGCAAATGCCTGAAGGAGGCTGTGACCCTGCGGGAAGCCGGTGCTGGAGCAGGGTCCTGGCAGGACCTGTGGACCCATGGAGAGAGGACCCCATGCTGGAGCAGGTTTGCTGGCAGGACTTGTGACCCCACGGGGAACCCAAGCTGGAGCAGTCTGTTCCTGAAGGACTGCACCCCGTGGAAGGGACCATGCTGGAGCAGTTTGTGAAGAACTGCAGCCCGTGGGAAGGACTCAACGTTCAAGAAGTTTGTGGAGGACTGTCTCCCGTGGGAGGGACCCTATGCTGGAGCAGGGGAAGAGTGTGAGGACTTCTCCCCCTGAGGAGGGAGGAGTGTAAAGACAATGTGTAGTGAACTGACTACAACCCCCATTCCCTGTCCCCTGTGCTGCTGGGAGGAGGTAGAGAAATTGATAGTGAAGTTGAGCCTGGAAAGAAGGGAGGGGTGGGTGGAAGGTGTTTCAAGATTTAGTTTTAATTTTTCTCATTATTCTACTCTGATTTTATTGGTAATGAATTAAATTATTTTCCCTAAATCGAGTTCTGTTTTGCCTGTGACGGTAATAGGTGAGTGATCTCTTGGTAAACAACTTCTGTGACATTCTTATCTTGACCCAGGAGCCTTTTGTTGTATTTTTCTCTCCCCTGTCCTCCCCTGAGGAGGAGAGTGATAGAGCCACTTTGGTGAGCACCTGGCATCCAGCCAAGGTCAACCCCACCAGAAGGTCATGCAATGACTGGTTCTATTTATATTTTTTTATGGATTTCACAAGAGATTTCTGAAGATCAACCTCTTACCTGTTTGGGTTTTTTTTCCTGAATATACAAAAATATGCAAACTGTGTTGTCTTGATAATTTTTTTTTTTTTATTAACCACAATTAAGGCATCTTTACTTGCAAAGATACAACTAAAAGACCTGTCAGCCATCAGTGAAGAAACCCTAATTATTTCTGAGACTGTATTCTGAATCTCTTGAAAAGCACAATTTGCAGAGCCCACACGGGGTAATAGAAACAAGCATTGTCTTCTCTGGTTCCAGCACTACTTAACTTTCTGACTGCTAAGAAGTACGGCTATCTCTTTTTTCCTCACCTTTATCTTCCTGTCTTCTCTGAGATTACTCTTTCTAG